GGGGGGTTGTAGAAATAATATATACAGCAGCTTTCCAAGCTCAAAAAATAGTTTAATAACTTAGAATCCATGAGAAACTATACTCCATCATTCTAACCTGACAAAATTAATATTACATCCAGAGAAATGTGCTCATGCAAAGTTTGTCCATTCAACTTTTTTCTTCCTCTCATTTTTACAGAGGTCAGCAATTTTTTAAAAGCACACGCAGTTTTAACTTGGGGTGGGTGGGGCCATTTTCGATTTAAAGGTTTTTGCGGTGTAAAATTTTTCGGTTGCATCCTCGTTTCTTATCTAAACAAATCTGATAAAATATGACAAAGTTTTATATCAATTTCTCGAGACAGAAACATCAGATATAACTTTCATGGGTCGCGATCAAGAACTAAATTGATTAGCTTTCAGCCTATTCCCCCTTTCATTTTTCCTTTACAGTCCCTTTAAGGAAATCGACTCATATATATCATATATATGATATATATGATATATATCATATATCATATTAATAATATATATCTTCCACATTATTGATCAGATGAAGGTTTCAAGGGTACCGTTGTAAATAGGACCTTTAGGAGTAAATTACTTGGAAATTACATCGATAATCTCTTTAACGAGAATGGACTATTCCTTATTATAGACATGGACCCAGGATATAGGGAATACTCCTTATTATAAACATTGACCCAGGATAAAGGGAATACTCCTTATTATAAACATGGACCCAGGATAAAGGGAATACTCCTTATTATAAACATGGACCCAGGATAAAGGGAATATTCCTTATTATAGACATGGACCCAGGATAAAGGGAATATTTCTTATTATAAACATGGACCCAGGATAAAGGGAATACTCCTTATTATAAACATGAACCCAGGATAAAGGGAATATTCCTTATTATAGACATGGACCCAGGATAAAGGGAATATTTCTTATTATAAACATGGACCCAGGATAAAGGGAATATTTCTTATTATAAACAAGGACCCAGGATAAAGGGAATATTCCTTATTATAAACATGAACCCCGGATAAGGGAATATTCCTTATTATAAACATAAATCCAGGATATAGGGAATACTCCTTATTATAGACATGGACCCAGGATAAAGGGAATACTCCTTATTATAAACATGGACCCAGGATAAAGGGAATATTCCTTATTATAAACATAAATTCAGGATATAGGGAATACTCCTTATTATAGACATGGACCCAGGATAGAGGGAATATTCCTTATTATAAACATGGACCCAGGATATAGGGAATATTCCTTATAATAAACATGGACCCAGGATATAGGGAATACTCCTTATTATAAACATGGACCCAGGATAAAGGGAATATTCCTTATTATAAACATGAACCCCGGATAAAGGGAATATTCCTTATTATAAACATAAATCCAGGATATAGGGAATACTCCTTATTATA